CTGCTGAGCACCCACCCTGCATCACCCCCCGAGCCCCCTTCCCTTGCCCCCAAATCTGTAATTCCCTGCCTAAAAGAGATGCACGATTGGGATGCATGAGCAGGGGAATAACCCAAGTCCTCTGAGAGCTGCAAGTGCCACACACTGTGGTTAAAAAGATTTGACTGCATGAAGTTCCACAGATCTATGGAGGTTTTTTTACCGTTCTTCTAATAAGCCTCTACATTAGCAAATATATTTTTATTCTTTCTTTGGAGGAAGTTTTAAAATGTTAGGAATAATAAACAGAGCAATAAAAGCATGCCAGAATATTAATGACTCAACTAGGATGTACTACCCAGCACCAGGCACTTACCAAGAGCCAACACCAACTGCTGCTCTGGATTTTACAGGTTCTTTTGGTCCAGCACCCCAGTCAGTGCTGAACACATGCCATGCTCTGTTTTGTAAGCCATCCTGCCTGTAACAGAGGTCTGATCTCTCAGGATCCCCAGGCTCTTTTCCCAGAAGATGAATGCTCCCCAGTCCCCAGCAGCCCTCCATGCTGTGCAGAACGAGGCCCCTGGAAAGCAAAGCTCTCGAGGAGCACACCATGCTCTTCTCTACAGGGATTCAACAGAAGCAGTATTTGGCAGATTATTTTAATTTTCCTTCTTAAAAAAAAATCTGATTGGCAGTGAGCTTTTTTTCCCTAGAGTTTTGGTAAAGGAAAACCACAAACAATTACCAAAACAAGCTGATTAATAATTTAACCTTCCAGACTTGCAAAGTGCCAAAACAGATGTGAATTCTGGATTAGCCCAGAAGGTCCCAGTGAGCACCAGTGAAGCTGCTGCTCCAAAATCATGAGTCCCACCACTGAAGCCACATGAGAAGTTGGAATTCAAAGGTCTGTGACAGCAGCTGAGCAGCCTGCAGCACAAGTGCCAGAGACTTTAACACAACCCCAACCTCTGGGTACAACATCCAGAACACAGCACAGCAGAGAGGTTTTGTAAACACTCTTCATCAGATGATGCAGCTGAGCTAAACCTGAAACATCTTCAAGGGTTAAGCAATCCTACCCTTCCAACAGCATCCATGCAACTCACATGGCCAAGACAAACCCACCACTGTGAGTCCCAGTGAGATGGAGGAAGGAGCTCCAACATCACTTGCAGAGCTGTCATACAATGATCTATTTGATTACTGAAGCACTTGGTTAAATTGCTGTGGCTTGTTTCAGGAGGAGGCTGCCAAATACATTTTCAGTTTTTAATCTAGGGTTTCTCTCTTTTATGCTCCATTGTCTCTAATAGCCTCTTAGATGCTTGAAAATAAAGTTGATTTCCCTGCCAATTTAATCCTCTCTCCATGTGACAAATATCGTTGTTCCCCCAGCTGCTTTCTCCCACACACACTGTTTTTATGCAGAAGAAGCCAACAGGGCATAATGCCTTCAGATCCTCAAACAGCATTATCAGTGAAATCACCAGGATAGCCAGAAATTTGGGACAACATTCTTGTTTAACTTGAGGTCTTCCTTCTGCAACAGCTCTACAAGATTACAGAGTCCTGCACAAAGTGTGGCTTAGGTAAATCTGCTGCCTGTGCACACACCCCCCACCTCTCTAAGTTCCCACTTTGGCAGCAACTTCAAAATGCAGGCTGAGCCAGCTCCACTTTGGAAATAAGGAACTGCTAAAGAACTGACATCAGGATACAAGATGCCCCTCAGATAATAAAAATAGGTCCTGCCCTGTGGCTGTATCCCTTGTGGCTTGCTCTTGTCCCATTTGCAGCTTCCTTCCTCCTGCCTTTCCCAATCCCTCCAGGAGTCCAACTCCAAGCATCAGAAAAGGACAGAGAATCAAACCTTCTTGAAAAAGTTAACTGGATCTGGAACCCACCTACTTTCCATCTAGTGCCTGTTATCAGAAAAAAGAAATGACCACATAAAGAGTTTGCTCAAGCAATATTATCATTTAGAGAACACTGGCTGCCCCTGCCAACTATGGAGCACAGCTTGTTTTATTCATGTAAATATTTGTAGGTATTTCTTTATATAATTTTCCACCTCTCTCTCCTTCTGGGATATATATTAAAAATGCCTAAACAATTAAAATATAGGTGGGCCCCATAACCCAGAGAGAAGCAACTGTTCTGCAAAAAGGAGGACAAAGACAAAAATAACCTAGAAAAAAGGAAGAGTAGGTAAGAGAGGCCAAAATGGCCAAAAATAAACTTGGCAGCTAATGAAATCACTTAAAATGGGGTTAGAAGTGCAGGTCTTCAAGTAGTGCTCATACTACAGGTCCTTCCCTGGAGAATTCAGTGATGGACATCCAGGGTAAGGTGAGCAACAGGATGTGCCCAGTAGAACTGAGCTGTTTTATTTCTCTAATCATTGCAATTCTGGCTGCATGAGGGCAGCAGGGATCTGGCTGTGCATATCTTTATTTACCCAGATATAAAAGAGTTAAAATTTCTTAGTGTGAACAAGGGAAATACACAGCATTTGGAACAACATAAAATTTCAAGAAAATGATTCATAATTTCTGGTATGATTCCATTGATTCCTCACCACTGGAAGTATCATGAGGGATGTTTCCAGTAATCCCTGACTGTCAGACATTGAGGCCACCTCTGCCTGCCCCATCCCTGGGCTGGGTGTGCCTCACAGCTCAGTTTATGCTCCTCAGATGCTGCAATCCACAACCAGCCCCAAAATGAAACTTCTCTGACAGCCAAGGCACAGGAGAGCAGCAAACCTGGGCAGCTGACAAGGGGGTACTGCCACTTCTGCCGTGCCTGGCACAGGGACAGCAGTGTCTGGAAAACAAGAGGGAAAATCTGGGAGCAATAATGTGTTAGCTGGATCTGGAATGAATCACTGGAGTTTGAACCCTGAGGTTGAGACAGGGAGAGATTTATCCCTTAGGATAAATGCAGATCCTGCTAAGGCTGTAGAAGATCTTCAGGTGGGAATGGATCAGGTGACATGGAACTGCACTGCTGACAGCCATGGGGCTGCAGGAATCCCTGTTTGGTGTCAACAGCCTCCCCTCCCCTGGCAGGAATAAACATCTCCTGTAATACCCCCCTTTTCTTCAGCATCTGATCATGGTCTGAACACCACCAAAACAGTGGGTGCAACTGGGTATTTTAAATTTGGAGAGCACTAAAGAAAATGATGCTCTAGTCCCCAAATTTATAAACCAGCTAAATGAGTGTTTTAGTATTTCTTTGCTACCTTTCATTTAAGGATCTGAAGTGCTTCAGCAGTGCTGGAATTTAGTGCTGAATTCTCTTGTGATACATGAAAATACCATTAGCAACAGGGGAAAGTAAAGCAACATGACTAAACTCACAAAGCAAATCAGCATCAGGTCATGTTCCTGGAGCCTCAGTCCCTGTCCTTAACCACAAGATAACACAATATTGCAGTATTCCTATTATATCTGAATTACACATACTTATGTCCAAGCATCAAAAGCACTTCTAACAATCTCTAATTACTTCCAGGCACAGCAAAAAGATTTCAGGCCTGGAAGTTCCCAGCACCTAGATTATGGTATCAGCCATTTTGAGATATTGGTTGCTAACATTCCCTTGTGGTTTTGTGTTATTTTGGTTTATAATCCCACTCCAATAGCATAAAGCAGTGCTATCTAGCTAGAAAAAATCAGAACATACCTGTGGCAAAATTACACAACTGAAGTATGCACACAAGTGAGTGAGTTAGTGAGTGCAGCACTGCTCAGTATTCCAAAAATTCCAAATTGCAAACCAGGAATTATGACTGCTTATCCCTTGAACACTCAAGTCCTGTTTTTTACTGCAGTGAAGGCCATGGGCAGGATGTCCAGCATCCTGTTTGAGCATTAGATTTACTGTTTTCAACTGCAGAGTTCATATTAAAATTATCACATTTACCTGAAAGGTTGAATGAGTAGATAAACAACATTTATGTTACATTGCTACACAGCCCTCCCATATCTATACACCACATAAACACACACACACACATATATATATATGTGCCTCTTGGAAACCTCAGAACAGGCAGGAAAAAGCAAAGGAGAGAGGATGTTATTGGTGGTTTCAAGTACCAAGAAAGACAAACGCAGACTTGATGGAAATATCCAGAGGCTGTTGTCTATCCAGCAGGAGGGAGGCAAAAGTCTTAAGGAAGGACTTGATTCACAAGTGCTTAGAGGACAGGAAAGACCTCAGACTTTGAGAACCAGCCCCTGTTTGCCAAGCTGCCTGATCCACGGCATGTCTGAGAGAGCTTTTAAAATACTTTGATCCTTGCTGGCAACTCTAAGTGCTGTACAAACCAGCTTTGTTTCATTTGTTGTTCCTCTGTGAAGTTATCCAACAGGTTCTGATACTCACAAGGCTCTGGTTGACAGGGCAAAGTCACCTGATGCTTTTTGACACCATCGAATAAGAGCTCTGCACCACCTCTGAAATAAAAACAATGAACCACTGAGATTTTGCTTTATTGTCAAAAGAAAGCAGCACAAAAGAGGCGATTTACATAGATGCCACAACAGAGAAAACAAATGACACAGACTAAATTTAGCACAGGATTCCCTTTGTCTTTTTTTTCCTGTCACAAACCAGAAGTGCACAGGGGAAGCTGCCAGTTCCCTTTGCCAGCACAGAGAGGAGGCTCTGCTGCAGCCAGAACCCCACGGTGCCAGGCATCACCCAGTGGGATGGGAGGATGGTTCCCATCTCCATGTGCTCCCAAACCCCTGTGCAGAGCTGCTTCCACTCAAACAACACCACAGCCACCACACTCCACCCAGCACTGCTCATCCCCAACACCTGCTGGCCAGAAATCTCAAAATTGAGCAAATCCTTCTGGAATAAATATTCCCCTATTTCACAAGTGTGAACACACAGAGAGGGAAATGACTCACACAAAGTTACAGAGCAGTCAGAGCCAGCAGCCTGGAAACTCTTGATCTGCACACTACAAAGTGTCCCAGAGAGGGAGACTTGACTGGGAGAAGGAAGTGGTGAGGGTGACAGGGTAAAACAGAAATAAATAAATACACAATCTTCCTCCTGATGTTCTCCCTCTTCTGACACTCTGAATTCATTAGGGGATACCCTCAGATAACAACTGATGGCCTCTGCAAGCACAGGAGACCAGGTGTGAGCAGGACATGCAGAGGCTGGCAGGTAAAGGAGCTGCAAACACACTGGAAAACAATGGGATTTGAATTGGGTCCAGGCACCCAACCCTAGGCTCTTCAAAAAAGTAATTAATTTTTGTAACTACAGCTCAGAAGCCTCAGCAAGCTCCTTGCCTCTACTCCTGTTCTGGAAAAAGTACAATTGTGAAAATCTTGAGTTTTACCAACATCAATCATTTTCCATGATGTTGTGAGGCCAAACTCACATTATAAAGCTTTTACCATGTGAGTAGAGACATGGATAATAAACACAAAATCTACTTTAAGTTACAGGACACAACAACAGAGAATGTGAGCTTTAGACTGAACTCTACAGTGGCCAAATTTTTAACAACTAGAGAACTCTTAAAAAACTCAGTTCACTTAATATTAAACTGAGGTAGAAAAATGACCAACACATTTTTAAAGGGCATAAAATTGTGGCAAAATGTTCTTCCAACCTAAATGCCAATTATTTTGGAAAATTTTTTCTTATGAAGTTACTATCTGGGAACTTACTGGTGCCTCTCCTCTCTTGGAAACCAACATAATAAAGAGAAATATTTAAAACAAGCAATCCCCACCTAAGTATCAACAAAGATACTTCCAGATGTTATTAAGTTCCTTTAAATTCGATATCTAAAAATGCCACAGTGGGTTTCCTTGGCTCTGCAATGGCAGAGCACAACAGAACCCTTGTTATGCCTTCAGCAGCGTTACTTATATGCAGCAGCTCTCCTAAAGAGCACTCTGTTGGTGTTCTTCCACCAGCTCACAACAAATAGTTCTCTCAAAATTGAAGCAGTGATTATGAACATGAGGCGAGATTCATGCGAGGGAACAAGTCATAACAATGATATGAAAAACATTTTTTCATGTAAGGAAAACAAGGTCACGCTTTGTTACAGCGGGAAATGTAGATTGCAAGATAAGGTCCTTCTGTAAGGCGAGAGCTGTGGGGAACTCAGCTGTGGTTCCTACATAGAGAGCTCATTTATGCATTTCCAAGGGAAGCAAAAATGCATCTCACTCTTCTGGGAAAATTAGGAGAGTTGCTGCAGCTGGAAGCGGGAAAGATAGAGGCAAGGATTCTTAAGGAGAAGGGTATTTAAAGGGTTATGGCATTTCTGTGTTCGTGAAAGGGTGGGAAAAAGCGAATAAATAGCAGCCTTTTAGCTTCTGCTAAAAGGAGGCTTTAACGAAATAACACAAGTATCTCCACAAATATGCAGAGCTTCCACTGCAAATGCTTTGAGACCCCAGGGCCAGAGCATGAGCAATGCTGATCCTACAGCAGCAAAGGCCTGGAAACTGAAATGCTACAGAGTGAGAACCTGGCAGCTTTACAGACCTGACAGGGCTCCAGCACAAAGCACAGTGAGGGCACGTGTCCACACACAAACACACACAGACAGCTCAGAAAAAAAAGCCGAGAAACGAGGGGGAGGTTTTCATAAATAATTTTAATAATTAAAATGAAAAAAATAAAAAAACTAAACAACTCAAAGAGGTTGAAAGAGGTGAAAGAAAAAGAAAGGCCTGGCACAGGACGTTCACAGAGAGACGGGAGCGAGGCCCCGGGACAGGCGGGCAGAGGGCC